CTTGAGTTACAAAATGGATGCAGAGGATCAGGCAATCGTTTTGCTTCCCTCACTAGAAGAGTACAGTAGAAGTGTGACAGCAGAGCCTGAGACAAGCCTTTCTGCATGGTACCTCTCTTCATGCTGGAGAGAGCATGTCTTTTTGTTTGCGGTGTATTATGTGTAATCACAGGAAATGTTATGTTGGTTCTTGCAGTCCCTATTAAAAAGGAGTGTGCTTTAACGGTGGAGCTGGTGGTAAAAGGTTTTCTCTGCACTGGTGGTAGAGGTGACCTAGAAATGGTTTCCATGGCAGTGGATGTGCTACGTGCTGCTGATGCCGGGCTCAGAGGAGGCCCCAGGAGGCTGTTGGGTTTGAAGTGTAAGCCCATTCAAAGTGACTCTCAAACAACTCTCAAAGCTGGTGACATCCTGGGGTGCCCCTCAGTGCTTTGGCAGAGGAGTCGGTGGGGTCTCAGCCCTGGGCAGGATGGATGCTTGTTCATAGCAATTAACGGCCGTGCTGGCTTCCTCTGGCCTCCCCAGCACTGGTCTCCACTGGTAGGTGCTTGTCCTGGGTTTAGGACTGTTTAGCACTGTTCCCAGGCTGAAAGTCAAAACACAACGCTGCACCAGCTACCAAGGAGAAAAATGGACTGCTACTGCTGAACCCAGGCCAGGGCTGCAGTGCTGCTGCAGGGGCTGCACGAGTGTTGTTACCAAGGTTAGTTCAAAACCAAAAAGGATCCTCCCAGTGGTATTGTATATTTTTTATTTTAAAATCCCATTGTTTATGTAAAGAGTGTGCTTGGGTTGGGTTGTTTTACCCTCCACAGAGTTTCTTTTGTTTTCTTTCCTGTCTTTTGACCCCCTTCACAGATAGAAAATCCCTCGCAAAACACAGGACCTCCTCCCCTTTGCTGGAGAACTTCTTTTCTTCTTCTAGTTGTGAAAAAAAAATTATGAAATCAGTAGGAAATAATTAGCAAAGCCAGAACTACCAAATAGGAAAACCTTCAAGCACAGAAATGATCCTTACCTATCACAGCACGATGCTAACTGGAAGAAGGTGAACAGGACAAAAGGAAGTTGAGCTGCTCTGGCATGCAGAGGCAATGGCAGAGAAGTGCCTCTCCATTGCCCCAGGGTTTCCACAGCAGCTGAGCAGGCTGGCTGGAGCACTGAGTTAGCTGCCCATGGAGCTCCACTGAGGATATACACGTGTTGCTGAAATGGGCAGTGCCTGGTGGAGGTGAAGGTGGGGAGTGCTCATTCTGTCTTCCTGCTTTCCATGGGGAAGGCTGGCCTCAGAAAGGTCTGGTAGTGTCCCAAAACCATGCATATTCAGTCAGCCCAGGTGCCTGCCACAGCCACAACTGAGGGCCACCAACCTGCTCTAACAGACAGTGCCACGGGGAATGGGCATGGATGTTTCCGCTGGTGTGGTACAGAAGAGCCAGAAGAACCACAGAATAGTTCGGGTTGGAAAGGACCTTAAGATCATCCAGTTCCAATCCCCCTGCCATGGGCAGGGACACCTCACACTAAACCATGGCACCCAAGGCCTCGTCCAACCTGGCCTTGAACACTGCCAGGGATGGAGCATTCACAACCTCCCTGGGCAACCCATTCCCGTGCCTCACCACCCTAACAGGAAAGAATTTCCTCCTTATATCCAATCTAAACTTCCCCTGTTTAAGTTTTAACCCATTACCCCTTGTCCTATCACTGCAGTCCCTAATGAAGAGTCCGTCCCCAGCATCCCTATAGGCCCCCTTCCAAACGGACTGAAATTCCGGCCTCTTGAATGTGAAGTGTAATTCAGGAAATAGTGATGACTTTCAATTGGATTTCACACTAAGGAACACACTCTATTGCTTTTGTATTTTGTGGAGTTACACATAAAATTATGAGGTAAATAAGATAATGTAAATATTAAAGGATTCAGTGTCTTAAACTCCATGAAATCATAAATCTACGAGAAGCCCTTGGCCTTTTAATGCAATGTGTTGCACACATGCTGTGAGAGTTTATTGCCATTCTCTCATACCAAGCAATTCTATTTTTCACAGCACTGTTGGAAAGTGTTCCCTTCTTCTTCTTAACAGTAAGGTGGAAACAAAGGCAGGAATCTAGACAGCCTTTCATCACTGTGGTGCACCGTGTGCAGGGGGTTGGAAGTGGATGAGCTTTAAGGTCCTTTCAGCCCAAACCAGCCTGGGATTCATCTGTGGTGTGTGGTTGTACTCTTTAAATGGAAGGCTTTTGAACGTGCTTTGTCGCCTTTCAGTTTTTGTTCAGGTTGTTGTCTCAGTTTTTGTTCAGCTTAGACTTACTGCACGTTCCCTGTCATGTGAAATAACTGTGCACGTCCAGACCTGGGTCTGTGCTACATGTGCAATTGCAGAGCACGCTACTGTGAGGACAGCTCCAGCTGTTCAGAGGAGCAGTTCGTTACAGAGCCAACAATGTGGGTGATGACTGCTCCTATATTATTGTTTGACATCTGGTGAAGCTGCTAACGGTACTGATCAGATATTTCAGTTTGCTGCTTGTTTGCACACAATTCCAATACTCCGAGAGGCAACAAAATAAAATAAATAAGAATAAAAGGCAGCTGAAACATGCAGTAGTCACTGAACATGTTCCACATCGCAAACCAAACTGTGGAAGCCTACCTGCTTGGGAGGCAGAGCTAGACATTTCCCCATTGCACTGATTCAAAATCACGTCTTTATGGAGCTCCACACGAAATACATGGCAGCTTCAGCAGCACCACTGACAGGCTCGGGAGAAAACAGTATGGCAAAAGGGTAGAAGGAAAAAGTCACCAAGGAAGGTCTTTCACAGTACAGTGTTCTGCTTTGCCTCTGGTTTCCAGCAAGGGTTTGACTTTCTTGATGCATCCTGAATAACAGGTTCTTCTTATAGAAATACTTCAAGTCTGATTTGTTTCATAGTAATTACTCTTTGGAGTTAAAATAATAATCTTTTATTGATAAAAGGTTAATCAGCACATGCTGATGTATCAAAAATGATTCTGATCTAGGCATTTCTTAGGGAAATAAACATGTTACAGGATTGGAAGCTAACTCAGGAAGATGGGATTTTGCTGCTTCTTACATCAGTTAAATGCTGCTGCTTTATTCATGAAAGCTTCCTTTTATCTCAACTGTTTGCATCTTCCTTAACACCCGTTAGGTCTCCAGGGACATTTTCCAGTTCGCAGTTCCAGTTCATGCTGCTCAGATAAGCTGTGCAGTGCTCACTCAGATGATGTTGCTCCTGCCCCATAGAAATGTATTAGAAAGGGAAGTGGAAACTTTGTGATGAAAAAGGTACTAAAGTATATAATTAGCACAGGAATTTTAGCATATGTATCATCTGAATACACATGCACCTGTGTATGTATACATAGAGTGGGTACAGGAAATAACACCAATTGAAATGATGAAAAAATCCTGCAGCACACGGGACTATCCATTGTGTACTGATCATAATCCTGTTCCTCAAGCATCTCTTCTGCTGACTCCACACCCAGGCCATGCTTATTTCATGATGTGCCTGCATTTTCTCTCCCTATGGATGCAGTATTCCTGGGAAGGCAAGAGCGAGCTGCCCAGAATATAAGCTGATACCTGAGTTTTATTAGAGAATGAACAGAAGCAGGGAACTAACTTCTGCTCCTTTTAATTTGTATCTGTTCCACATTTAATGTATAGTTTTCATATCATATTACCATGTAGTTTAGTGTATACTAAGTAATAATATATTATTCTTAGTATTATGTTAGTAATATATTTAGTATTAGTATAGTTTTCTTTCTGACAGGGTGAATATTGCACTATGTATGTATGTCCCGTGTAATTTATCTTTATAAAAAAATCTATATTAAAAATAGAGATCTATTTGTACAATCTTCTTCTGTCAAAGCAGAAACCCCAGGTAAAACACCACTGAAGAGGTCTGGGTCTGTTGTTTGCAAAACACCTTTTCTTCTCTCTAAAATGAAATGAAAATACCTGCTGCCAGTTTTTGTTACCACCATGGCTCTAAATGCCAAGCAGTGTAGCACAGCTTTGGATGGAGGTGTGTGCAAGCAATCCAGTGCATTCTCAATTCAAAGGAACAGATACGTTCTTACTCCGCAGAGTGCATTGTCGTTATTCCTGTACAAAAACTATTTTCATGGGAAAAACTCATACGTGCACAGTTCTGAGCTGAATGGTCTTATTTCACTGCTGGTGTTATCTCACGCAATTCATTTCACATCCTTAAGAGACATACAAAGCATCTTTTTAATACCATAACTTCAGCTGAGTCATTTAGGAGCTCTGCTGCTTCCGTTTCTGTGACTGGAACAGCAAAAGCACCTCGGAAGCAACTTTTGCTTTCACTTCTGCCCCCAGGAAAGATCTTATTGCTGATTAAAAGGTAGCATGGCACCATGATCAGGGGCAGTGTTTCACATTAACCGCGCTGCAAGTGGGACCCTGCTTTGCGTGCCTGCAGCTGCACCGAGGGAAGTGAAGTGGGAGCACAAGGGTGGGTGTACTGCACACGGCGTCTGCTAATGCAACAGCAGCTGTTGCAAAGGGCTTTGTTCAACCCTTCCTTCCCCTGAGAGCCTGGGAACAAGGTTGTTTTGCACCTCTGTCGAGCAGGTAGATTTAGCTTTCCATACCAAATCTAAGACCGGTGTCACGAAAGACTGCTGAGGATTTCTAAGGCAGCTCTATAACTGCAAATACAGAATTCAGCAGAGCAGTAACCAATCTAACTTCAGAGTTCAATAAGGTGAACAGCTGAATCACCGATAGAGACACACAAACACGTTACACGTGAGCCCTTAAAATCCCGTCATGTCAGTGTTTGCAATGCAGCCATGTTGTCACGTTTCTGTTAAGGAAGTGGTTCACTTGCCAGTGATAACATGGGCTGCCTTTTCCTTTGGAAATGAGCTACAAACTGTGCCCAGCCAGTGTGCAGCCAGGCCTGCACATGCGAACAGGCTTGGTCCGTGTGTTTGGAATGGTTTTTATTTGGCTAAGTGGCACAGTTACAGGCCATCACACAAGGATGTGTGACAGACAGACATTGCTACGTGACCCTCACGGCGTGGGACCACTCTGGATGTGAGGGAGGGCTTTGACGCTGGCTGAGGCACTGGTGCTCTTCCCAGAAGCAGTCTGCCTCCGGTTTCATGGCTGGATTATTCTGTTGCTTTGGTCCATCACTGAGCTCCTCTTCACTCACGTGCCTTTGAAGGGACAAGGACCCTTGTTCTGGGAGTACTTGGCATGCCGCTCAGCAGGAGATGACCAGCGGGTTAGACAAGGCCTGACGACTCCGTGCCTTCTCCAGAGGCTGGCTTTGTAGGAGTTCACAGCCTGCCAGCTCGTGGTGAAGAGTGTCTAGGACTTCAAATAGGTGGGCTTTTCCTTCCAAGAGAAAATTGCAAACGTTATAATTTGGACAAAGGCAGGACGTTGCAGTTTAACAATTGTAACACACGCTCTGTTCTTCACAGGTGCCATTTCTTGTCATTAACATAAAATGTCTAAATTTTGAAAGCAAACAATGAATTCCTGTCCCTATAAAAATGCAGTGGAACTGGGTTCAAGGACTGTTTTCTCTACTGGTTCTCTCACTTCATTCACTGAGTTCTCACATGTGTGAACAAAGACTATTTCATGGCACACTAAAGAGCTGCCAATCCAAGCATCCACCTAGTCCTGTCAAAGAGGAAGATGATATTTGAATGCAAAGACTTAGGAAAGTTGCTAACATCATACCAAGTGCACAGCCAGCAAATGGAAAGCAGAGAGGATGAGCTGTTTCTGGCAATGGGGATGCAGAAGGGACAGGGAGCTATGAAGGTCACTTCACTGTTGGTGTCACGTTAGGAAGCTGAGCTGTGCTGCTGCAGTTACAGAGAGAGGTGCTTTATTTCAGCAGCAGCACTTGGAGCCAAGTGCTTCTGTGCAGGGTAAGTGATAGCAGCTTCTGGACACTTGTGCTGGGGGTATTAACAGTCCCCTCTCCTCCTCACCAGGAGCAATCTGACCTATGGCTCAGCCAGCAAAGGGCTCTGTCCTTGCCTCCTTTGCTCTCCTTCCTCTGCAGCCATGCCAGGTCAGCCCAGCTTAGCTCTGGGCTGCCCATGCCCTGGATTGCTGGACACTAGCAACAAGGCCTTGAAACTGCAAACCCAGAAAGGCTTGTGTGTGTTATCCTCCCTAAACCACTGTCAATAATGTTCTCCAAAATTAAACCCTTAGGTCACATCTAGTCTTTTATAAGCTTGTCTTAGACTACTGTGTGCCTAATAAAGGCACCTCCACGCCATGTTCTTAGGACTGGTACAGGATGTTCATTTCTTGAAGGTAAGTACAGTGCTCTGCTGATAGGAGCAAAGTAATCAAATATAAATCTCCAGGCCGGGAGCCCTGTGTGGTTCCTCTAAAGCAGCTCTGGCACACCAGAGCATTGCCAAGGGAGAGGAGTTTGTGAGGTTAATTTTCATCTGAGGAACATACAAGGCTATTATTAGAGGAGTGCAGGTTTCATCCATTTTCTTGACAGAAATATTCTGGTTTGTGTATCTTGTTTGTTGCAGCAGAGGGGTTCAACACACAGTGGGACAGCAAACCTGATAAATAAGTGCCCTACATACCTGGTCATGTTTTCCACTTTCTCATGTCAAGAAATCCACACAGACATTAGTGGGATACTGGGTTGTGCTCCAAAGGCCAAATTCTAATTAAAATGTGGCTAAAATAAGCCCTAGATATGTTGCTGTTTCTCATGTCACAGACTCCAGTCATCACTTCCTATAGGTAACCTTCTTACACAGTACTTCTTTCTCCCTAGCCTGTCCTCCAGTATTTGACACGTATTTATTCCTACTCATCTGTTCATTATCTATCCAGTGTTTTCCCCCAAGGACACTTTCCATGCCTCTTGGTCTTTCCAGGTGAGTTGTTTTCTTACCAGGTTGGGGGTCACGGCAGGATTCCAGAGTGCTCAGCAAGATTTTCCCCAGGGCTCGCTTAGATATGTTCTTTAAAATACAAGACAGCATTATGGTACAAATATGTCCTTCAACACCTTAATGTAGGCAACAAAATCTATGTGCAGTGTATACGTGCATTTGAAAATGAAACCAAAATGGAACTGAATCCTGGTAACACAAGACCTGCTGTTGGCTTCATTATCAAGCATTTTATCTTAGATACTGGTCAAATAACAGCAGTTTGTGGAGGGGCCCAGTTCCTTAATATGGCTGTAGAAGGAGAAATAACAGGGATTCAGTGGAGAATACAGAATTGTCCCCAGGCTGTGCCTGAACAAACCTGGATGGTAAGGAGCGCAAGCAGGGCATGCCCAGCACTCAGTGAGAGGAGCACACAGGCACTGGGGTGTCCTCCCAGAAGGAGCCTTCTCAGCCCCAGCTGTGCCAGGAGTCACTGGGAACCATTCAGGGTGTAAGTCAGGCCCACTGACACAGGCTAGAGATACAGTGAGATGGCAAAGGGAGAGGATTGTGAAAGCCACTCAGGATTTGGATGGTCTTTTTCAGAGGTAGTTTTACATTAGCGATCTGTTGGGACACTACCTCATGTGTCTGGAAAACAAAGTCTCTTCATTTGTGATGCAGACACTAATGCATGCTCAAGCTGGCACACACTTTAGTTAGTACTAGAACACCCCCATCTGCAGGGGCAGGTTGTTCTTGTTACAGCTTCAGGAACTGAAAATAGATGGAAGCTATTCTGGAAGAAAGATGATGACCTCCCAGCAGCTGGGCAGTACCAACCTCCCTCACTAACACTGGTCCTCACCTTCTGCTTGTGGACCCCAGGGACTGAGGCATAGTGGAAAGCGGCAGGCTGGGGTTACACATTACCTCTGAACACAGAGCACAGGTTTAACAGTCATACAATCCCAGCCTGGTTTGTGTTGGAAGGGACCTTAAATCTCATCCAGTTCCAACCCCCTGCTGTGAGCAGGGACACCTTCCACTAGAGCAGCTTGCTCCAAGCCCCTGTGTCCAACCTGGCCTTAATTCCCGACAGGATGGGCATTTGCCTTGGGACAATCACTGCTTTGAGGTGGATTCTGTTGCAAATGAGATGCGTGGGATATTTAAAACATGAAGGTGAATATACTGGGGAAATGACACCTAAACCCACAATTTCTAATGAATAAGCATTCTTTTACCTGAAGTATTTCCCATCAGGGGTTTAAGGGATCCTTGCTAAACTCTAGTGGGGATGCTATAAATTTTCTTGTTCATTGACAGCATTGTTGCCTGGGCTAGTTCTATGGGAGCTGGCAGCATGTGGTGGTGTGATTCCAGCAAGGATCACCATGAGGTGCTGTTATCACAGGGAACATTGTGTGATGGATTGTCTCCTAACGGAAATGACTTGCAATAATACAGCTGACCAGTGAATGACATGTTGAAGGCTTGACACAAAAGGTTATTATGCTTGTTGTCAGTCATGGTCTTTACTAGCTTAATCTGTCACTGGATTGGTACTGATGCATGTGTCAGACCTGCAATAGGAAAGTAAAGTTTCCATGTGACGTGCTAAAATAAGTTACCAAATGATGAGATATTGCACTTGTTCCCTAGAGCCATCAGTGGAACATGAGCGTACTCCAAACAACAGAAATGATCATAGGAAACATTCTCATCTCACACAGGCTGGGCAGTGCTGTGCTGGAAACTGAGGAGAGCCCCCAGTCATTATGACACAACCAGTTCCTAGCAGTCCAGTGTGGCTCCCCGTGCGCTCCTTCTCCTGCAGATTATCTGGTTTGCCCATCTTTTGGCCAGCACTTACCAATATCATTCCCAACCAGGAGATCTCAAGTTATATTCTAAAGGACTGGCCATATACTTCTGGATATTATTGCATCAGCTTTGTTAAATCCGTGTTTGGATTATTCATTAGATAAGAAACTTCTTATTAAAAACCCATTATTGACCCATAGGGAGGAGTTTTATCCCTTTAATACTGACTCAGTGTCACATTAGGATGCAGTTAAACAAAGGTCCTTTGCTAGAAGCAAGAATAATCTCATATAACCTTTCACATTACTAGCATTTTCCTTTTCCTCGTTTCCTCCCATTTTTTGTTTAGAAGATAATGAGAGCTTGGAGATCTGGAGCCACGGAGATCTCTAGGCTTCTTTTGGGAAGTCAGCCATAGGGGTCTAAAAGTGTTGTGCAATCACGAGGCAGTTCCCAGGGCAAACACAGGTAAAACGTGCCCTGATGCACAGGGCTTTGTAGTTAACAGAAGGTAGGAAAACCCTTTCTGGTTTGGGAAGGACACCATCAAACCCAGTTTTAAGTCTCTGCACTGCTTTCTTGCCATACCAAGTCTCGAAGTTGCTGAAGCAGCTGTAAAACATCCATGAGCTTTTCCTCCACCAGGGACAGCCTAACTCTCTCCGTCTCCAACATCTGCAGCTCCATCTTCAGCCCTTCGGTCTCCTCCACCTTTTGCTGCAGCTCACCTAGCAATGGGCCTTTCATCTGGACAATGACACAGGAAAATAAAAGCACTGGAGCTTTTCCCTTTCTTTCCCACTAACTGCAAAGCGGAGTTTTCCCCCTTAGCTGGTAAATACCAGTTCACACCAGGTTTTCCTGAAGGGAAGTGTGTTTCTTTAACATAATACATGAAGTGAAGAGTCAGTGGCTCCAGGGATGCATGTTTTGCTCTCGTGTGTAATGGCCATTCATCCAACACTGGATGCAAGCAGATCATTCAGAAATCTCAAATACTAGCATTGCTATTTCAGTTTTCTGATCTTGTGCATTCCTGTCATCCTCTAGAAAGCATAAGTGATTTGTGTGCCCTCACCAATGCAACCAAATCTTTGTCTTGCTACTCCTACCATGTCAGTCTTGCCATACCAAGTATGTATATTCATACCAAGTATATATATTCAGTGAAATAAGAAGGTAAGTAGCAGACTCCTCAGACCTGGAGCTCCCAACGCTGCCCTGTCAGTGCAGGCCTCCTAGGATTCAAAAGGTTGCTTTTGTTTCAGTGCAAAATCCAAGCTGCCACACCACTTACAGACCTCCATCTCTTTGTCACAAACCCAGGCCTGTGGCAGGTATGTGACCAAGCCACTAAAAAGAGCCAGATTTCCCTGGAAAATATGGCACTTAAATGTTAATTCTGGACCTTTGGGAGCACTGACAGTTTTCAGGTTTATGACTAAAAGGACCCCATTTCTCAGTCACACTGTGCCCATCATTCTGAAGTGTTACTATGCCTTGCAGTTTGTGGTGGCAAACACAATCTACATAGATCTATTAACATTACACCAAGTAACAAAATCACGCAGGGTGCATGCCAAGTTTGCTGGCTCTGTTATCCCTTTTTGTTGTCCTGTTTTATCTTCGCTGCAGCTTTAGAAAGGACTAAGGAGAGAGTTGAACTCAAAAAGCCCTAATACGCACACTATGTAATAGGGTTTTTTTCCCGTGGAAACTTCTATCCTAATGAATGGTGGGAAGGAACTTTAATTCCCTAAAACACAGGTGTCAGAGTGAAAACAGAGAACAGTCCCTGATCCACAGCGAGGTCAGTTTAGGTCCTGTCAGTGCTAATAGGGAATTGGGCTGTTCAGTCAGCACTGTGAGCTGTTCCCTGTGAGGCACTCCTGCTCCCTGTGCTGCACAACAGCTCCACAAGTTTGGATCACTGCGTCTGGTCCGTCTGCCAAGCAGTGATTTCAGCTGCCCTGCCTGAACCCTGCTTCTGGAGGAACAGAGGAACATTTTCCTGCGTGGAGAGCCAGCTTTGTTACAGTGCTGTGGCAGCGCTCCCACTGACACACAGCAAATACTCCAGAGGCTGGGGGAGGCTTGCAATGAATGAGATGTGCTTTCCTTTATTACACTGCAGATTGCCTCTGCGCTGTTAATACCACCTGACATAGGCAGGCACTACACGCGTGGAGCTCTGTCCCCCACACAGCTGAAGCAGTGTCTGATAAATAACAGAGAAATAAAAAGGACATGATTTTTAAGTGTGAAACAGACTTTCCCGCTATGCAATAAGACAGATGCTCATGGAAATTCCTATGAGTGTCCATCTGTCCTAGGCCTGCACCTTGCCAGCCCTCATCTGCCGCTGTTAGCTGCTGCTTTGCCCATGTCAGCAGAGCCACATTCCTGGAATGAGGCATACGGAGTCCCTGCTCTTGCTGGAAGACTGTGGTCCCTGTCCTTGCCCAGGGGCTGTTCCTGCACACCCGGTCTCTATTCACACATACAGCTGTGAATGGAAGCACCACTGCCCCCGTTCAGTGCCTGCTCTGGAGCTCTCCCAGCTCCCTGCTGCCATGGCCCGCTGCTCAGTCTGTACAGACAGCACAGGCACTGTGCTCAGCCACAGTGGGGCTTGGACCCATTTGTTGCTGCTGCTGTCTCTTCTTCTGCTTGAGTTTGACTGCTCCTACAAAGCCCTTTTGGCCTGTATTTCCTGTGCTATAGTGAGTAAAGTGCTTTCCACAGCAGTTACACCTTGACAGCCACCTTGTTACCAGTAAGGATGCTAGTTTCCCAATGCCTTCTTTTCATTTATACACATGGGTATGCATCTCCTGTCATCTTATTGTGCTTGAAGACAGCAGCTCGGTGTGCCATTAAATCAGTCTCCCAAATTGATTTCCCTAGCTAGGTTACATCTAGCACCTCTGGTTACCTTGACACTGGCAATAAGATAATGATGCAGGGGAAGCATAAGCTGTTTTTAAAAGTGAAAGACTGAGGAGGGACATCAGTGGCTAAGTCATAGGACTCAGAGGAGTGGGATTTGTTCTTAGCTCTGTCAAGGCGCTTCATCAAAACCAGGGTTTGGATCCATGCCTTGTTTGTAAGATGGAAACACCACCTTGCCAAACACCAGTTTCGAGAAGGCAGCAGCTGCTATCCAGCCCTCCTATAAAAGGGGCAGAGTGCCATGGGGAAAACCTGAGCTCTGGAGCAGTGTGTCCAAATACATTCAGGACACTGAAAAATGAATATCCTTAAGGCATGTAAGAGAAAATTATCCTGTTGTGTTTTCCACATAAAACACATATTAGGAGCCACTTTAACAAGCAATGAACCTGAAAAACACTCTCAAAATGGGAAAAAAAGGGTAACAGAAGGGTGAACTGTGTTGGGCTTTTAACTAGTTTCACCCTCAAAGGCCTGGAGGATGGCAAACAGAGCACCAGTTTTCAAGAGAGGCTGCAGAGATGATCTGAGGAACAGCAAATCCCTGAGAGTCTCAGTAATTCTGCCAGGCACATTGGTAGGAACCGTAATGGTGGAGGGGCTTGGTGAACACAGAGATGAGCATCGTGAAGAATCCTTGAAAGGATCTATCAATCAATGTGAATAGTGTTAATTTCGTTGATTGATAGAATGTATTTTGAATCTGCAGGAAGCTTTTCACAGGATTCATCACCAGAGACTCAAAAAACCCTAACACTGATCCCACCAGGGTCTCAGAATCACAGAATAGTGAGGGATGGAAAGGACCTTAAGATGATCCAGTTCCAACCCCCCTGCCATGGGCAGGGACACCTCACACTAAACCATGGCACCCAAGGCTTTGTCCAACCTGGCCTTGAACACTGCCAGGGATGGAGCATTCACAACCTCCCTGGGCAACCCATTCCAGTGCCTCACCACCCTAACAGGAAAGAATTTCCTCCTTATATCCAATCTAAACTTCCCCTGTTTAAGTTTTAACCCATTACCCCTTGTCCTGTCACTGCAGTCCCTAATGAAGAGTCCCTCTCCAGCATCCCTATAGGCCCCCTTCAGATACTGGAAGGCTGCTATGAGGTCTCCCAGCAGGTCACAAGCTGGGGCAGAGCACAGCATGACAGACCAGGACTGAAGGGTGCACAGGGCAGGCAGACAGTCCTGGGGGTCTCACAGGGAGCTCCCCTGAGCTTTCAGCCCACTCAGAAATGATCTTTAAAGAGTGAATGTTGAAGGTTTTAAGTTTGCTCTCAGTACAGTTTTTGGGGGTAATCAAAACTAAATCTGCCTGAGAGGAATGACAGCAGGAGCTCATGATATTGCATAGCAATGGACAGTAAATGATCAGGTGAAATTCAGCATCAATAATGCAAAGTCATGCATGCAGGAAGGGTCCACAAAGTTGTATTCATGCAGCAATGATGACTGCCACTCAGAGGGCGATGTGGAAGAGCTGTCACCTCCTGAACGTAGCTCAGCGGTCAGCAGAGGTCAGAACATACCTGCTAGGAGCGGTGGGGGAAGGAACTAGGCACAAAACAGAGACTATGCTTATTGCCATGGAGGGCTTGCATTTCAATACTAAGCATCTTTCAGTTCTTCTAGTTCAACAAGGGTAATAGAGCTTGAAAAGTACATGGAACAATAAAGCAGAATAATAGCAATACGGAATGGTTTCTGTACTAAGAGAGCTGAGGAAGGCTAGGAAGGGTTGTAACTAAGACAGCATTTCTCACAATTAAAGTCTATAAAATGAGGAGGGAAAGGTAATTTGCTGATTGCCAAGTACAAAACTGAGGTGACAGTGGATGATCAGGCAGCAGATTTAAAGCTAACAAAATCAAATCCTCAAAACCTGTTCCTTTTTAGCTAGTGTGTGGGAGTCCTTGCCCCAAGATACTAAACGCATTGCTAGCTTTGGAGAAAAGAAAGGTAAATTCATGGTGAGTAGCTCCAAGACCGGCCATTAACCATGATGCTCCAGGCATGATCCAGTTCAAGATGCATCTGTCCCTAGTATTGGGAACCAGGTGCACAATACCAAGAAGAAAACCATCTGTACCGTTTCTCACTGCTTTTCTCTAAACAACTGCTGCTTGCGGGTCAGTGTGTGATATTTGACTCTGGATGGCAGGTCATAAACTACCTGTGTTTGTAATGAAGCTGGCAGTTTGCATGCAGGCTGTCATAGAAAGTAATTGGCATGTCATTTCAGCACTGCACTTGGCAGCGGGTCGCTCCTGTTTGCTCCATCCGTTATCCCCAGGTCCTGACACCTTCAGCACTTGCCTTCAGTGAGAACCATTTTTAACTGCTCTGGTACTGGAAAGCAGAGCTCTGCTGACATGGCAGATCTTGGAACTCTTTCAGCCCTGATTTTACAGTTCTTAGACTGAAGCAGGTATTATTTAGTATTTGAGAGTGTTGCCCTTCACTTGCCTGCTGGGGCTGGTACTTGTTAGGTTTGTTGTCATTTGCCCAACTGTCAACATTGAACAGTTCCAAACAGAAACACACAGAGCAATGGATAAGGTAGTTTGTCAGGTCATCAGGGGAAGGGTTCTTGGTGGCTATTTATTAAGCCAATGTATTTACTTGCAAGTTAGATGAGAGAGAGCATTTCTCAGTCTTCCAGTTTGCTCTGTGTTGGTTACAGGCACATTCACCTTTTGGAAAGGATTTACTTACTGCTTCTCTGCCTGTTTTCTAGTATCACGAATCCCAAACTATAACTGCACACAAGATACAAATAAGAAGGTTTAAGAATCAATTTCTAACAACAGGCTCAAAATGATTCATCCTACTGCTTTTACCTTCATGTGGCAGTGAGTTGACACTGTGGCTTATTCACCTCCCTGCCTGTCTTCAGAGCAAGAGCAACAGATCCCTGGAGTTTTGTATTAATCTATTGATAATGGTACTTCTCTGAACAAGGTGCATGAAGCTAATATCCATCAGCAGAGATTAAAAAGCAGGCAATGGGATACTGCAGAAGGGATGGAGAAAAAAGGGAGAGAAGAAAACTGGCACTACCTACAGGAAAGTGGTTAGGAAGAATAACCGTAAGTTGTTATGTGGGGTGATGTTAAGCAGTGCAGAAGGAAGCTTTGTGTCGCTCCAAGGAGTATTGCAGGAATAAACTGTCATCGAATGCTGCACATTGTGTAAGACACAAGTGTGATCTTATTCTGGTTTTAATTCTTTTTGCTCACAAGTAATTTCATTTGATTTAGTCATGGGGACAAACGATACGAGATCCTGGTAAGAGCCAAAGGATGGCAACAAGTAACAAAGCTGAATATTTTACTGTTACTTTAAACAGTTTAGTGATTAACACAGTCCTTCTGAAACTACTGAAATCCTCATGCTCCTTTCAAAGGGGCATGGGATACTGAACAAGTGCTGACTGAGCCTTAAGACAAAGCAGGCCATAGCAGTGCAGATGATGCCCTATTTTTGTTTCACAGAAGGACTGCCAGCATTTAAATCTGTGCTCAGCAGTGGCTGTGGTGTACAACACTTAAACACTAAGATCACATAGGACTAGTAGGGTATCTTGGCTATTTTATCGGAACAGCCTGTGTCTGACAGTGGCTGGTGTACTTCTCATCCTCCAAACAAATGGAGTTCCAGGTAGGAACCAGACATGAAACACGGGTGTTACAGGGGAGTGTGAGATGTTTGAGCTGACGAGCTAAAGGCCCGGTGAGGAACATCAGCAACAGAACACAATGGCCACAATATAAATGCACATGTATACAAATGCAGCTACTTAGAGATACATAAGTAACTCTTCCACACTCCGCTTGGCACCTATTACCTCTTCCATGTTTGTTTCCAGTTGCTGCACTTCCTGCCCTTTCAGCTGGAGCTGTTCAGTGAGCTGTGTGATCCTCTCTGTGAGCTCCACAGGCACCGCTTCACAGCCATCACTGCTGGTGGTCTCCAAGTAAGACATTAGCTTTTTCCACATCTTTTCATCACACCTGTACAGACATTTTAAAAACAAACCAATAGGTTAGGGGAACCTCTCAAGGAAGGTCTATGTTTGTAAAAGCCAGGTTTCCTGCAAAACTCTTCGCAGCCCGGATCACAGTTTTGAGCCTGGCTGGTGCTGCCTTGGATTAGGTTGGGATTGGCAAGGGGGCCTGCTTCGTATTGAAGCCACGTACCTTCAGGTCATGAAACAGTCTTTGCAAAGGGCTCAGGAAGCGTTAACCTACCCACTGGCACAGCAGGGGAGCTTGGCCAGTATCTTCCTCATGTGGTCCACCTGGGCAGGCTGGTCTCCTGCCCACTTCTCCTCCTCCTCCTCATCAGAGGCAGCCTGACCCTCCACAGCGCGGAACAGCTGATCCTCTGCATAAGAAACCAGTAACACGCATCAATCCCAATGGGCCACAGCTATGGCACTTTAACTCCAGACACAGAGAGACAAAAAGAAATGAGAGGTTAGAAACCCCAGTGAAGCACAGCTCAGGGCCCTCCAGCATCTGTGGTAAGGGGCAGGGAAGTCTCTGTAAGGGGCATTGCTTTAAAACCCTGGAATAATTTAGCACTTTCTTGCAGGTAACTTGTAGCTATTTTGCTTCATATCTCTTCTTTAAGCAGTTATAAGATAAATGTGAACGATCAGTGTGCTGTAAGGGATGGCAATTACTGTTCATGTGGACCATGGAATATATGCTTTCAAGAGGAATGAGAAAGCACTGTACTGTGTGATGTTATTTTTACCTAGTCACTGTACCAGCTGAGCACCTATTCAGAGTGCAGGAATTTGGTATAAATATTCTGTAAGTCATTCACAATCTTAAGGTCCTTTCCAGCCCTAACCATTCTGTGATTCCCTCACTGTTCTGTAGGGTCAGTGGTTTTAGTATATAAATGCAATATTAGACCTATAGCTAACTAATGTTAGTTATATCTTTTTCTATCTCACATGCTAAGTAAGTTATAAACAAGCCATCTGCAATGCATGTAACTATACAGGTACTATTACAGTAGTATTTCAGTACTGGTTTAGCTGTAATTTACAAAAGCTATTGCATTTAACTCCTTTTTTCACAAGAAGAGATTTACTGGGACTCAGAGGATTATTATGATGCTTAATTTACTGGGAGTCTTCTGAAACCTTGAGCACATGAAAAACACCGGTCACACCTTTGTTCTGAATATTCATTTTGAGCTGACATCAGGTTAAGCCACTGTCAACAGGATTTTTCATTTTAGACTTATTTACACTTAATCACTGTCAGTTAATTCAACAGGATTAATGAATTCTAACAATTATCAAGTCAAATGCTGTTGTTTCTTCACATATCAAACCACATTTGACCTCAGGTAGCGTTCCGAGTGCTGTGTGTACATAGTTCTTTCTGCATGGGAACAGTGGGCTCAAGGGGATGAGTGCCCAGCAGAGACTCTCGGGTCCGTGTTTTTCTGTCTCATTCAAGGGCACAGCACCTGCAGCCCAAGCTAAAACACCATTGGCAAGCTGTTGCTGTGGGAAGTGGTACGTGAGCTGCAGGTCTCTGTGCCAGGAGGCAGTGAATGGTTGCTGCTCTGCAGAAGCCCTTTGCTGCCCATTGCCAGCCCATGGCCTGCTTCAGCCTCCCCAGCTCTATTTCCAGCACCAAAGGAAAAATGTTGTTTCCCCCCTTTGGTTAACATTGTACCTATGTTTGTTAATGCAACTGTCATTCCAGTGGCATCTGATGTGCCTACTCTATAGGTTATAGAGTTCTCTATAGGTTCACTAATGTATTGCCTAAGCAGGAACAAAGCTCAATTGCATGCTTTGTTGCTCTTTTAATTACAGAATGAATGGCTGTATTCACATGGCAATCCTCACACTGTATAAACTAACTTATTACAAGTGCTTGCTTGCCATAAGGCTGTGCACAGCCAAACCACCAACAAAAAGAGACCTTCTACGTTCAGTCTTTGATACATTAGCAATGAGCTTTTTCTACCATCACTTATTTTCTTGCTGTAGGATTTCAAAGGGACAACAATCACAGTTTACAACCGTTGTGGGTGCTGTGAGAACTGATCACGCAGTACTATGGATTCCTTGAAGAGCTTCAACTGGTATGTTTAATCCAGTGAATGAATTGCAGCATCTGGCATAGCAGACACTCAGATTAGGCTTTTAGAAACAGAAGAAAAGGCCTGTGAATCTCAAGCGTTCTTCATGCTAAGATATCAAAGACTCTTGTAATGCTTTCACCTCCATAGGAATGTCCTCTGCTCTGACTGTGTAGGGAAAAGAGACTTCTGTGAAAGAGATCTTAGGTTATGATTAGCAGGGCTGGAAAGCAGAAAGGAAAAGCAAAACCTCTTATTCATCTCCTTTAACATAAAACCAGTATTTCATTAAAATTCTTCTACTATGCTAGTATTTTACACTTTATTATTGTGATATTCAGGCATTAATTTGTAAACTAGCTAATGCAGAATAACTTGGCCTATTCCACTGATGCAATTGCTTTTCTGCTCTAAGGCATAAATATTTACTCAAATGTATATAAAAGCCCATAACTAATTCTGCACCTGGATGTATTTGCCTGGAGTATTGGGGTTTATCCCAGATGTTTGTGCATCCTTTTATTTGTTCACCTTTCTGAGTTATTTTCCTTTTCTGCCCAACTAATCCTTTTTTATCCGATGGAGCAGTTTTTCATGGTTTTAAATCTATAAACCCACAATTTATTTCTTTGAAAAGCTTTTGCTAAAAAGCTGTTTGTACTTGAAATATGGGTAAGTGTAGACATGGCAACTGCCTTTGAGCTGGCAAAGTGTCTGATTTGATAAAAGCCTTAGTGAAAGCAGGTTTACTTTACAAATCAAACCATATGGAGAACATGCTGCAGTGTTAATTGTATTGAAATGTCATCATTTTTCACATTCCCAAGCAGCTGCTTGCCAGGTCCAGGCAATACCTAACATTTAAGTTTCTGTCACTGCAGTCTGCAGTAAAGATACCCTGTTACTTACAGCTGATCTCAGATAAGTGCTTTTGTCTTCTTTGAACTAGACATACTCAAAAACCCCCCAAAATAATCACTGAAGGTAAGGCAGACTTAGCACACTTGGCATTTGCTGTCTACTGGGCATGGGAGGCAGAAGATGTTTACCTTCTATGATGGCTGTCATAAATGTGTCTCAGTGTTACAGCAGTAAAATGAGCCCCCCCAGATTGCTGTCTCTTTGAGAGCCCTTGTAACTGGCTGCTCTGCAAAGGCCTGGCTGAGGTCATCGATGGTGAGAGCCCTTGGCAACCCCAGTGACTTCAGAAGGCCTTCAAAGGATGCCTCATGCAGTCCCATGAGACAGCACAAGTGTCAGTTTTATGGCAGCAGTTAGTGCTGCATGTGCTAAACAGGTTGTACCTTTTCAGAGTCACTGAAGCAGCCAGCATGTTTCCAAAGAGTGACTGTACAGTATTAACTGCACATGGCTCTGCTGGAAGTTGTTTTGCTGCAGCTCTGAGTCTTTATTTACAAAGAAATGAAAATTTCATACTTTTAAGTCCAGAAAAAGGTGTTGGTGAGGTGAATCATATGAAAAAATCAGTTTTTGAAATCGTAGGCCTAAGCGATACCTTCAATCTTTCATTGAACATAAAATTATGTAGGGACTGAGAGTTAGAAAGTTGTGATATTGCCGTTTATTTAGGTCTAGGATTTCAAGATTCATTAGGGCTGGTTTGTGGCTTTGCTGGGTTTAGTATCTATATTAGTTTTTCTGCTGAGGGTCCTACAGATCAGTGAGGGGCTACAGTGCTTGGGTACTGGGTTTGGTACCGTTCTCAGAAGCCCCAGCCCCGCCGGTGGGCGAGCGCCGGTCCTGTGGTTCAACAGCCGGGCAGCATCTCCCATCTGGTAAGGCTGCTCCCTCCTCCTGCTCGGGGCTGCTGCTTGAGGGAAGCTGGAATCTCACCATTTCTGACCTGCAAAGGAAGGGTGAAGTCAAGTGGACTTGTAGGAAGTAATAGAAAGCAAGATAAACACACAGAGCGTAGCACACGAATGACTGACTGCACTTGTGCAGGCTTGCCATTGGAAAACAGCGGTATCTGTGCCTGCAGAATTAAACCCCTGAGGGCTGCATTTGGTTGCTTCACAGAGAATCAAAGGAAGGTGGCCTTCAGCTGTTCTTTGGGTAATAAGAACTAAATGCTAGTTATAGCCTCTAGTTCAGGTCAAAGACATCTAGAAACTACATATGAGAACACTGCACTCTTGTCATGAACTCTTCCTTTCCCACTGGCAGTTTATGGCAGTGCATGCCTAATCTCTACTGTGAGCACCATAGCACCATGGCTAGGGTAGCAAGTCTTGCATCTGGTCACTTGGACTGGTACTGACTCCAAAATGTCAGGCAGTTTTGACCTGAATCTTTCCAGTACTGGAGACAAAGCAGTGTCAGCCCCTGAAAAGTGAAAAGGAATGAATCAGAAACAGAGAGATGTCTGAAAATCAGTGAGTTAATGGTTAGAAGCATCTCAGCAATGTGCTTCTGCATTGCTATCTCATTGGAAACAGTGTGATTTTCTGAGTGGAATGCGGAGGGTATTACACCTGTGTGTTTTAAACTGCTTTCAAGTGGTGATACACAGGTCAAGTAATGTACCTGATGAGTACGAGCCCTTAAACTTGCCAACAAAATGTAATTTGAGAAAAGAAATGAAGTTCAATGAAGGACGGTGACTGTTCAGACTGAGGAGTTTATAGTTCCCTAAATGGGCAGGACTAGGGTAAGACCTTCAAGGAAATTCAGGGTAGCACATGTTAGAGAAAAAATCCAGAACATATTTACATGTAGTTGAGTTGAAAATGTTCTAATCCAGTCAGGAAAGGGACCCGTCTGTCAATAAAGAAATGAGCCAGGTCACTGTAAGTCATTGGGTGTAGTACAATGGAAACATCTACTGCACACAAACCAAAATCTAACAACATGGGTTTATTTCCTTAACAATTCAGCCTTTCAATACCTAAAAGGGGCTGCAGGAAACCTGGAGAGGGGCTTTGGGCAAGGGCCTGTAGGGACAGGCCAAGGGGAATGGCTTGAACCTGCCAGAGGGGAGACTGAGCTGAGCTCTTAGGCAGAAGCTCTTCCCTGTGAGGGTGCTGAGGCGCTGGCACAGGGTGCCCAGAGAAGCTGTGGCTGCCCCATCCCTGGCAGTGTTCAAGGCCAGGTTGGACACAGGGGCTTGGAGCAACCTGCTCCAGGGGAAGGGGTCCCTGCCTGTGGCAGGGGTTGGAGCTGGATGAGCTTTAAGGGCCCTTCCAACACAAACCAGGCTGGGAATCTAATAAAATACTACAATTTGGAAAGAATGGGAATGAAATGTGAAATGCCAGAAATGATGAGTCCACTGGAGGTACTGCTCTCTTACTGGAATACATTTGGTTTGGTTCAGTTTTACTCTCATACCTACTGTTTCATAGGGATGTACTGAATGACAGTATCACTTATTCAGAGGAAATACCATGGAAGTATGAGACGTAGTTGACGTAATCAATTCAGACACTCCTGTTTACATGCAGAGTAGTAAATAGTGTCTATGACATGGAAAGGCAACACCTAATACTGAATTTACTTTCGGAGTCTCGTTTTTCCCCACAATGTACATAAGTAACTTAATGCCACAAAATGTTACTGAAATCAAAGCTATGAAGAATTTAAGAAATTAGACTGTTAGAATGTAGTAAGAAACTCATAATTACACTGGATAAATGGAAATGTGGTGGATGAGTACACACATATAAGTTTGATATCAAGCATTTTCCAAGGCAGGTATAAGTTACCCCTCAGGTATGGAGTGAATTGAACACCAAGTCCAATCCATAGCAAGCTTGTGTGCGCTGTGTAATGTAATATTCTACATTTCCTATAGAGTGTGTTTCTATTGCTTCCTTTTTTACTATTTGGCAAGCATTTTTCTTCCAATAGTTACATCAGGATATTTTCCTGTTTAGACCATATAATAGTCCTACTTTTCCCAGTAGGAGCTGTCAGATAGATGACAAGGATTCTATATGTGGAAGAAAGCAAACTGAATTCAGGAGTTTTTTTAAGTCAATTAAGTTTCCTCCAAATTCCTCCTCAGTTTAGTTTTGGGCTAGTGAATGTTGAGTATTTCTCGTGCTGAACACATTCAATAGTCATCAACCAGAAGTGAGAGTTAAAGCCCTGAGCAATTGGTCCTGCTGAAACAAGTTGTAGAACATCATCTTTTTGTACAAATCTACATACCTCCTGCCTGTGAATTCGACTACTGCTGGAAACAGGACTTGGGATGTAGCAATAGAAAAGCTGATGCCAAGTTGGAGGTAAGTATTGCAGAGAGCTTTTGTATAATCTAACGCAGCTACTGCCAGTTCCTCCAGAACCACACCAATAGCAGTGCCCTTGTTCCTTGTCCAAGTATCTGAAGTAAGATCAGCAATTTAACAGCAACAACCACCAAAGTCAGTGTGTCAGGACTTGTGTACAGACAGAAGCTGAGGGAAACCATTTATTTACCCCCTCGAGCAGAGCTGATTGCATAAAACCCAATGCCGAGTTTTATTTATGACTTCTGGCATGATTTGGCTTAGCAGCAATTGGATTTCCTGTAAGCCAAGGGAAACGGCAGTCTCCAGAATGGAGCCTGCCTAGTCAGTTAGCTCCATTAGTGCTGGAAAAAGGAATGATAAAGCAGTGCACAGATAAGAAGCACTGTTAAGCTTGGGCATTCAAAATGGGGCTTCCGGAAGCATTGCAGAGCTTCGGTGTTCTGGACAGTTGCTGTGCAATATAGTAGTGTCCCCCTGCCCAAGGGGGACATATATATATATGTAAAAATGTTTTATTTTTTTCTTAAGTGTGTTGATTTCCTTCATTTAAGACACAAATATCTTGGGCTCTGGTGTGCAATAAGAATCCTTGACAGCTCCTTGAGGACTGGACCTGGTTTTGTGCAGATTGTTCTTTTAGGTTTGGGCTGCAGCATCACTTTGGAGGCCTCTACAGCCAATTCACATCGTGCAGACATGTTGACTTTTCAGTGAATACTCACTGTAGCCTCAGAGCGGCTTAAGATTTTAACCCATAAAACACTGAGAATATTCAAGTATCATGGAAGCCTTTTCTAGCAGAAGTGGGTGACTGCTGTGATGTTCAATGGGAGATCTGCTGTTACATCTGGCAGCCTGGCTTCTATTGAGCTTGGAGTCCAAGGAGAAGTTTGGAAAAAACCCCAATCCTTCCCATAGAGTTCAGGATGTTGAGTAGCAGACTCCCTCTTCCCAGATGGGACTCAAGCCAGACCTAAGTAATAGCTCCATCTTCTGTATAGTTCTTGTGAGGGAACTTATAATTAGTTCATGAAATCTGGTAATTCTATATATATATAATATATATATAATTCATCTTTCTTGAGAGGACCTCATCAGCTATCTCCTAATGCAGAGAAATGAAGGGAGCCATGCAGACAGCACACGCACTATTGACTAAAGACAGTCCTGTCTGTCTTCTCTGGAGATGCTCATCTGGGAAAATGGAAAGAAATGGAAGTTTTCAGCAAGGGTTTTTGCACCCAGGTGCTTCAGAATTTAAACCTTGGTTCTGGCACAGGGTCTATCATTTATACCAAATCACACCGTGCCTTAGTTTCCCTATCACAGGAAATACAGCAAGTTAGTGAACCTCAATAAGAGGCAGCCCTGATTCAGACGCAGCCCTGTTTTCTAGAACCACACATGGAAATTACTTCAAGGTGTTCAGCAAAGGGGCAGATCTTTAAATGTGTTTCAAGGAATGTGTGTCCAGGCAAGCTGAATTTTCAGAGCTCATCCTGCCAGATAAAAATGAAAGGAAAAAACAAGCAGCAGCAGGAGTACATACAGAAATGTTACACCCCCCCCCAGGAGAGCAGCTAATAGATAATGACAAGGATCCACTGGAAATAACAGAACTGGAAATGTGTTGTTTTGGCCCATCTTGCCTGGAGCCCAGTGTTGAGGTGCTGGGTACAGGTTTATCCCCAGCTGTGACTGTGGAAGGCGAGAGGAAAGGACAGGACCAACAGCCTGACGACAGAGGTAAAGGGAGGGGAGTGTCCTGTGCAGGGGAGTTCCCAAGGAGGGATGTATGAACACAGCTGGCTTTCATTCATGTCACCTGCCAGGTTTGGTGCCAGAAATCAGGAGGCACAGCTAGAGAGCTTTTTGGCTATACAGAAACTTCTAACACTGCTCACATAGCTGCAAGGGCAAACTTGCCATTCCTTAACTATAATCAGAACCCAAATATGAGATGGATTGAAGAGGTGCTAGACAGCAGTGTTGCACAGAACCAGAATAGCCTTAAGGATACTAATGAATCTTTGCTGCCTGTTGGAAGAAAGGGGTTGTTTCCTTCTTTTAATTTTGCCATCAATATAGCATCCTACATTCGCTTTTTGTTTGTGTCAGTGCCAAAGCTGCACCTTTAATTTCCAAGTGGCAGAGTTTTCAGGATGTAAAGAGCAGCCTGACAAAAGAGGCCAACTGTTACGCTTTTGCTGTCATGGTAAATGCTCGAAGGAGGAATCTTCACTCATTCTTAAGCATAGGTTTAATTCTTTTCTCATTAGTATTCATACAGCATCAAATGGGTCTCCATAAATGAGAAGAAGAGTGAATAAACAGCACATTTGTTTAGGGCAAAGATCAGAGGGGAAAGCAGGGCTGAGGCTGCCTGGGAAGCGTTTGGGTATGGAGCAGCGTGGCCAGGCTCCCATGGAGACAGGCAGGCAGTCCACATTCACGTCAGTGTCTTTGTGCTGCAGATAATGAATGGGCAGCTCTGGAGAAGGAAAGCTGGGGAAGGGAGAGTTTGCAAAGTGCTGGACCTTGAAGCAATGACCATGACTAACTGGCTTTTAATTGCCTCTCCCCTTATTGTTGTGGGAACTGCATAACC